TGGGTGGCCTTGAAATAGCCCTTCCGAAAAGTCCGCACATCTTTGCGGGCGTGTACTCAGAAACTAAGGAGGTTAGGTATTAAGAAAGAAGGTCAGTTTTGTGAAAGCACCGAATGATCTAGAGGGCTATTTCAGTCAAAAATCCCATATAGATGTGGAACACTCCCTTTAAGACAGGTAAATTGACTATTTGCGAGGGGGGCCAAACTTGAGACCATTAAGTTATTCATGGACACATGTACTTAAATAGTTCACCCACGGGAGGGGAAAAATCCTAGGGTTGTCACGAATCTATTGATTTGACTTCTTTAGATGGGGAAGTTACCCGACGTGTTTTAGGAATGGAGCACAATACGATTGTAACTGGTTTAAAACGAATTGTAACGGAATGAAGATTGTCTAAGAATATCAGCCAAACAACGCATATTGTATAGTTCTACTTCATGTACCATTTTTGGCTGAGTCGGGTGAAATTTAATGAAGCAATGCGGCTTGTTACAAGCACATTATTGCATTGCTAAGGCTGACGGGGACTGAAATTTGGTGAAAAGGTGGAATCTGAGCGGATGGGAGTTAATATCCTTGTGTTGGCTTGTTATGGTGTCTGAAACTTCTAGAAATAAAACAAAGCATTTCTTTGTTGGAAGTGGGTAAACTATTCGTCACATCGAGTTGTCACTATATGTGTAAGCCGAAGCGGTAAGGGGCGACACTCTTAGGGGTAACAGCAGAAGAGCATAGCTCAGAACGGATCTTTAACGCATACAATTTAAGGCGTATTATGCTACAGATACCGGCGACGTTCTTTTTCATTCGTATTGTTTTTTCTCCGAATTTTTACTTTCGCAGTTATGATCCCATGACCAAACTCGATACCTGGGTTGCACGACTGGAGTTTTGCTCTGTACGCACATTTCTATACAAGGTGAAAACGGAATGCACCTTGTAAGGAGCCTTTGCATTGTTTTGCCAAAGCCCCGTCCGCCATATCAAGAAGATATATTGACGGCAAAACCATCACATTCTACAATAATTTTTGGAGCTAACAGCACATTTCGCGATAATTGTCGTCCGTTTGTACGTTTCCGTTACGGCGAACGATGTCAAGGAGCTATGGCGCCCCTAGCACAAGTAGCTGCGCTCCAAAGCTTTAGGATTCCATTACAAAAATCCTGGAGCGCTTGCGTGCAATACGAGGACGGAGAGCATCACCTAGATAGAGGGGCAGGTGAAAGGGAGATGGGAGCAGTGACGGAACATGAGCAGAACCCAGATCGGGTTTGCCGGTGCTAAAGAGCAAAAACCTGTTTCTCCCCGCGCCAACTGATGACCGCCCATTTCCAGGACTCATTAATAAAGCGGAGCAGGAATGACGGAAAGGCACGCAAACAGTCACGGTATATTGCCTAGTCACGTCAGAGAGTTGGGCAGTCCAAAACTCCATATACTTCACACCGTAAATACACGGTGCTGCTCGGTTAGCCATCGTTATGAAACAAGAATATACCCAAAACTATACGAATATACGTGAATAGACCAACCGCACCCCGGCCTTGTTGAAAGAGACAGACATCGTGCTTTGCACGGAACATTTTTTTTTTCGTGACTCCTGGTAATAAGATTAAACAGCAAACACTGCGAGGAAATTCCAAGCGCAGCTTTAAAACTCAAGAAAACTTCACGCAATTCAAATATTCCCAGTTTAGTGCTAGTGCTTTATCTTAGGCCGCAACGATAGGAACTAAAACGCTGCCATGATGATTAACATCATTATCGCCCACTCGCTTAGCGTCGTCCCTTACACTTGCTGAAACGTTAGCATCTACGCTAAAGGCAAAACTTGACACATTCTTAGAGCGTGAAGCTTAGCAAAAGGAAAATACCGAATCAATGATGAGAGCTTGCCATACCTTTCTATGCTCGTGGAAACTACTCCCAAAATTTGTTTCTTATTAGGTCAACTCCCTTTTAAGGTACTTCCATCCATGAAAATCAAGTCCCTATTTTCTGGAACGACAAAAAATTTAGGATTTCAAGCAATAAGTCGTCGATTCTAACCGACCACGCAACGCCGAAATATTGCCCACGCTGCGCTTTGTTTTAAGGAGTAGCGCCATTAACTACAACACTGCCGTAAAAGGTACCACTACCACTTAATCGGTTTCAAATAGCCTCAACGATATATAAGGCACAGAGTTCGAGAATGTTTCAGCTTAACGGGCATATCTCAGGTAAAAACAAAGACATCAAAGAAATCAAGAGGATAGGTGTCAGTTTGCAGGTACTTGATCGCAACATAACTCGTTGTTGCGAGAGCTTAAAAATGCAGCGGTGACACATACTGCGAACCTACCAACAGAGTATTGAGGTTTCTGCAAATGGCGCCGTAACGTAAGAGGCCAAACCAATGAAAAGCTGAAAGCGCCACCACCGCACACTGGCTTCCCTTAAGGCTGACGTGGAAGCCGAAACCTCATACATTTTTTTACAGTGTATAAAAAAACTGAAAAAATAAAAGGTCCTGAACGCGTTACGCGAATGTGCCGCAGCTTCCCGCACCTTTGACTTTCAAACGATTTTTTGCAGGCCCAAACCCTTTATTGTTGTGCCTACCGGCATGCGTAAACAAATTCATTCGGTTATAAGCCAGCCCAACGCACTTTGGGTCACTCCTGAAAGCCTGGACGCAGGACGGCAAGGCTTCTCTGCGGCGGTCCCACACCCGCGGGCTTTCAGCTAATGAATTCGTTGCCGTTCGGATTGTCAACTGGGTGCCGAGCCTACTCCATCAAATTTTTATAGGCAATATGGCGGTTCTTCGGGGATCATAAATTCTGCCACTGCCACCGGGAGAGTTATCATTGTGATAGTGAACCCTACCAGAGGGAGACATCCCTACTGGCAACGGAGAAATGGTGTCAAAACAGCACGCGGCTGTCTCAGACGCAGTCTCATCAGCTGTTAGCAGCAGAACAAAGGCATGCATGACTGCACGTAACCGGGGGCGAAAAGTCGCAAAATTGTTGGGAGGGGAAAGTGAGCTGAGCGGCGTAAAATGACGATACCGGCCCCGAAATACGCCGTAAAGAGATTTCCAAATAATTGGCCAAATTTCAAAGTTGGGCGTGGGGCTGGATCCACCACCCAGCTTAATATGAAACTACACACCCTGCAAGTAACTGTTTATGACAGTTATAATCGGCTGCAACATCCCTGTGCTATTGCCTGGCCGCAAACATCAGGCGCGACCTTGATGTCTGTACTTTGATCGGCTCTGATTCCCGCGTCTAGCCAGCGACCCTCCCTGTAATGCAGACGGCTGTTCTCTTCCACTCCATTTTGTCGCGTAATATTGAATTATTTGTCGTTGGGGTGTTTTTGATCAGCGGGGTACGCGAGGGAAGCACCGGGCGAGGGGCGGGTGAGCTGACGTCGACAAAGAAAGGCGCGCGCCTCGCGTGACGGGGTGGCCTCTGAGCGGCGGGAAGCCATTAATAACGGCCATATTGCCTGGCCACCCGTTAAACGCTGGAGAGACGGGAGCGCACCCACCGCCGTCTGGTTAAACACTAATTCACGTGCGCCACGTGGCAACGGGCCTCTGCGGCAGGCGCAGATGCGTACGAGTGCTAAACGCGCTATCCTATCACGCGGGTGCAGACTAATGAGTGATGGGAGATGAATCGTCAAGGGATTTCACGCTTCACTGGCAGGGAGCACCACAGCAGCCGGCCTAGAAAGGAACTTTGACAAACCGCCGACAAACGCACCTTCCATTGTAAATGGAAAATGCGTCTGGGCAAAAGGGATGAGGACATGCATAGAGATCATCCATGGCCTCCACATGGATAGGGACACCTAAAGGGTTGCATGGAATAATTCGGTAGGCAGCTTCAAGAGGCCACGGCTGTTATGAATATAAAGCCCCACTCCCAGCCACCACATACCTCTTCAGACGGGCCCATATTTGTTCTCGACAGACAGCTAGTGGCGGCTTAAGGCTAGTGCAATGACCTTAGCAGAGGGGGAGTTCACCAGATGGAATCCCAGGACCTCCGGCAGACTGAGCCGGGTGTCACACCGCCGCTGACACCTGGTCCAACCGAGACACCCATCTCTCTGGTGGAAGCTGTTACAACATGCAACAAATGTCGATCTTATCAATGGCAGCGTCAGTGCATAGCTACTGCCAGCAAGCAGCTTCACAGCGGACCAAGACTCGTGAGCACAATGTTCGTAATGGAATAATACAGAGGAATAATGCAAAGAATAATACAGGGTTCTGCAAAAGGAAATTGGCTGCTACGACAACCTCTTCCACACATTTCTAATTACAGAACTGGGGCTCATAGCGAATATTTTTCGGTATAATAATTTCCAGTCACTTTTATGTGACTGGAAATTGGTCCGATTTGGTCCGATTCGTCCGTCCCGGTGACTCAGTCGGTTAGAGCGCCTGCATTCCGATCCATCCAGCCATGGCAGGGTGGGTTCGAGTCGCTTTAGGGCGCTCGCTATTTGCCCTTGGCAGGTATGGCCTGCGGCCGGTGGCAGCGGGCGCGCTAAAGGTCAGTTGACGTCAGAGGGCAGGACGGACCGTGCCGAGCATTGCGGCACATTAAGCTTTCGCAACTAAATTCTGCCGTTACCTGGAATTGCGCGATCGGATGGTGGGGGTCAGGGCTCACACAACAAGCTGCTTAGCGCGAGCGCTGATCCCAGAAATCCATCTATTCAAAGGCTTCGGATCAAATTTATATAGAAAATGTGAGCATTTAGGAATCTAGTGCTTGTACCATAAGCCCATTACGCGGCTTTTTTTGCCTCCAACATTATGATCACCTCACCCATCCAGCACAAACGATGCTCTTCGAACCATTTCCATGGCCAACTAAGGTCCGGTTCCTGCTCCGCATGTGACCTAGGCGGGCCTCTGCCCAGCGGCTTCCGCGCAGCGCTCTTGCCACGACATCACGTGCGCGGCGCGCCGCGGGACTGACCTGACGTGGAGGATGTAGTGGCGGATGGGACTGTTGTTGATCCTGCTGCCCGGCGCCCACGAGAGGAACACGGAGCGTGACGTGAAGTTGGTGATGAGCGGCCGCCCCGGCGGTGAGGGTATGTCTGCGGCGAGAGGCCATCAGATCGTCACGTGTCCCGATGGGGAGCATGCCACCGCGGACGCGAGGCGAGGTGCGAACAGCTCACAGGCTGCCGATTAGCGTAATCGTTATGATGCCAAATGGCTATTGTTCGTTGACAACAGACGAAAAAACACAAATCACATAAGAATGAAGAATTACGGAGGCTCAAACTCCTCAAATTATGAGCCTTAGTCTCACGCGATGACAAATGGGATAGCATGTCAGCTAGCACCCGCTCTGATCATGGGGAAATATGACCCCCATTCCGCCCGAGAAGAGTTTGTCCTCAATAACTTCAGAATGGCGCGGCTGTGTTGCATCAAAACGTTGCGTAACCGTAGGTGCTTAAACAGCAGATTTTGGAATAACAAAATCAAAACATTTTTTTAAGGTCCGCGACCTTTAGCAGGCCCAAGCCACGCCATGGCTGTAGGCGGAGATAATTCTTAAGAAATCATTCAGCGAGATGCGACAACGTGGTGTTAAGCGAAGTCACACAACTTTGAAATGATTTCTTAGACAAATAGACTAAGAATTTGGATTATGACTAATTCTACTAACCTTGGGCCAGATATCACGGTCAGATCAAAGTTGTAACCAAGACGCCGTATCTCTTGAAAACTTGCTTTCTGAGCTAGTTTTTGACGTTCATTTTGAACGCCTTGATCGCGACGACGTCAAAAATGCTTGTGAACTCATGAAGGTCAGGAGAGGTCAACGACCTCAAATCCATTCAGTCAACTTATGTTCTGAGAACCATGCCTCCTAGTGAACTTGCACCGCTAAAAATTAAAAGTTGTAAATAAGACGGAAGGTTCTTGGTCACTTTGACCCTGTAAAGGTCAAATATCATGACTGGTGTGACCGTAACATGTTGCTTATCAGAGGTGTCCAGATAACGGCTGGTTGTGTGCGAAGACCTGAGGACGATACGAGCATCAATCTAGAGTTTGACATTGTTTCACCTTGTTTGACCCAAATGTTGCGACCTAAGACCTCATTACCTGACAAAAGCGAGTTTACCTAGATCCCTACACATCGTTTTAATTTTGTGTCTCACATTTTCTTTGTTCTTGAAATCACCAGGTTAAATCGCCCCATCCCGATGCTTGCCCGAGCGCGGCGCATTTCACGGGCCATACTCAAACCTGAGACAATTGGCTTCGGCAGACTTCTCATGGATAATCTAACATCAGGGTATACGGTCATCACGCGTATTGGTGGGTGTCAAAAGATGGTCAGAGACAGCATTATGCATCGGTCGTTACCTACTTCGACTGGTCTGTGACAACTACAGTTAATTCGTTTATGCATGAACTATTCATGTATGTATGAGTATCTAAAAATCCCGAGGCGTCTCACGCGGACTGGGCCATTACACTTCGATAGTACTGTTCCAGACTTGATTCCACTCAGATTGTGAGTGGCCGGGACAGAGCAGGCTTTCGCGCATCGCCAGCAGTGCCGTCCGGCCGTCGACCTTTTAATCCGTCGGCTGTTCGACTAAGCTGAGCAGAAGAATAAGCGCGCAATTCTGGCGGCTCCCGAAGGCAATGACTCAGATAAGCGTGACAGACAGTGAGCCCAGCTTCGCCCCGCTGACATGCCCAGCCCCCTCCCCGGCAGCCGGCGCGCCGTGTCCATCCGCCGACATGGGGCGGCACCGCGCAGGGCGCCCACTGCTCGGCCACCCGCCGCTCCCCGGATCGCGACGCCTTTGTTCCGATAGATAAACCCGGTAAATCGAGTCGTGTCCGCGCTGGGCCCGAGGCGATCCGTTCATGGGCCTGAAGGATGGGCCATTGGGCGGGTCGGGCGAGATCAACGCTACCCGGGTGCTGGACAGGAGCCTTGTTCAAGCACGGCCACAACTCGTCCGGATTCGGTGACGTTGAGATTTCAGAGCTTCAGAACCCCGTTGGTGGTACCATGAATACCATCCGGAGTTTTGAGCCCCGAAATTGGATATGATAGCAAATATCCCCTAAACTTGATCGTGGGGACATTACCATTTCGTATATTAGTGAAAATCTTTCACACTTAATGAACACATTTCACCAATTCTCTTTAGTTCTGCTCAATTTGCGCGATTGAAAGCTCTTTTTACTTCGTCACGTCGCGGTAGCCCTGATAAAACAGCTTCAAGTGTTGAGTTCACGACTACGTTACGATACTTTGGAGGTTTTCCTCAAGCTCTGCAGCCGAACAGGATACTGTCCTGATTTAACCTCTGAGTGCGTGCTGCGCTTCCTTTGAATCCTACAACTCTATTTCCAGAAGTGACTGCGAATTGGCTGACATCCGAGCGTCAAAGTACCGGAGCGCAGCAGTATGACGCGCAATTGACTTCAATGTAGCTATCTTTTAAAAGCTTTAATCCTAACCTTCTTGAAACGATTATTTCTGGGGTCAGAGGTCACCTAAGTGCGTCCTCTGCCACCGGCCGCGGACCATATCTGTTAAGGACAAAGAGCGCCCACGTAAACGTATGCGCCCGCGCCCACGTAAACGACCCACGGGCGCTCTAGCCAACTGAACTTTAGGGACAGACGCAGTCTGTGTTACAATTCATAAACTGACGTCTTCACAGATAGCTTGTTCATTGCCGGTGTCGTGTTCTGCCGCCATGACAGATCGATTGTCATTGCCCTGATTGTCGCGCACGTTGCATTACATATCAATTAAGGCAACGGAAATTAACGCGCCTGCACCAACCTTACGCCACCGATTGGCCTCTTCTGCAGGATGATTAAAATGCTGTCAACACATTTAAAGAAAATATATCACGATTGGGTGGTTACAGGGCAAGAGCTTGAGGCATGAGATGAGCCACTCAAAGATGCAGTATTGAGGGTGGAAACGTTCCTTTGAAATCAGTGTAATCAGGTACATGCGGCTTCTATTCTGGAGCAGCCCATTAAATTCCAGAATATCGACAATAGTAGGGAATTGTTTGTGCCAGCACATAAAACGCAATGAATGCCGACCGTATAGCAAAACTTACGCTGTTATGCCTAGTATTCCATTATCGGAGATCCCCTCAGTTTGCGTTAAAAAAAAACGAACACTATAGCTGGCGAGGCACTTCGGAACTGTTTCGATCGTCTTCCTCGAGATCGGGGACGAGCGCTCCTCATCTTGCGGCTGCTTTTGTCAGTGGCGTCGGCATTTTTGATGATCCTGTGTGGGTGGTATTGAACAAATAAGTGCCGGCGGCCAGTTAACATGCGTTGCACCAACATTCATCAGATAATTATTTACATATTCATATTATCGCCCTCTTTCTTTCAATGGGCACGTATCTTACGAGTACCCAATATACATTACACATTGGCGGACGCGTTTTAATCGTGTTATGGTGCAAAAGTGAGCATCGATAAGCGCTTCCCCCCCCCCCCCCCCCTCCAAAGACAGAAATGTCACTACGCTCAGACCACAATCCAGAGTTTTGCCTTAGTTGCCTGAAAACTTGACTGAAATTTCACACGAGTTAGCACGTTTGACGTTTTCGTGAAGTCGTATGCCTTGAGACAAAGAGTGATGCAGCGGTCTTTCATTGATAAAAGATATTTCACGTGAAATTCGACAACAGTTACTTTGACAGCTCTGACAGTTTCTCTTCAGCAAGTGGTGAATTGGGAATTATTTTATTCGAAGGAAAAACCGCCATGTTTTCAAAAAAATGCTTCTTCCATTGCCCTACACGACTGCTTCAGTCATGCGTTACATGCCCTGTAAGTTAGGGTCCACAGTTTTTTCATCGTCCTGTGAAACTACAGGATTAAGCTGCTTCGTTCTCCAACGGTTACTCCTTACTGGTCATGTGTCCATCAGGTCCGTCGCCATTGATTGTCGTTTTACACAGCGGTGATCTCTGGTCGCTCCGCCGAAATCGATTGAGCTCCGGGTGGCGCCCTGCACTGCCGGCAGTCGCCCGATCGACCTCCCTGTGAACGTCCGGCCGGCGCTGGCCGACTTCAGACGTGATTGAACCACGCCGTCTCCGACAGAGGCCTCGTAATCTTTGACTGACCCCGACGAATGGCAGCCGGCTCCGCGGACATCGCCGACGCCCGACGAAAGACCCCGATAGCCGCAGAGCGCGCGGCGCGACAGATGAATGGGGGCCGGTGGGGCTGCCATCTGGCGAGCTCGATCACTTGGCGAGTCACGCTATCGTTCCTCCGGCTGGACCGGGCGCGCTGGGAGCCGGCCCTCCGATCATCAGCGGAGGTGGGAAATTGGACAACTTGTCCGCCGTCTCCAGGTGACAGGCGGCCAAACTTGTCCACTCGTGCCGCGCCAAGGCGAGTTATCGGAGCATTTGCACAGAGAAGCCGCCATCCAGGCCGAGAGCTGCACAGGGTCAGCGGTGGCACCCAAACAATCTGGTAGATTGCGTCTTGTGGCCAATGACCGTCACTTCCACACGCATGAGCAATAACACCGTCACAAATGGCATTGACACGCATGTCACTATTCGCTATAGTACGTTGAACCATTGATAAATGGCCACATGGCTTCGAACAAAGCTATCTGTTGAGGCCTCATATACGAAACCCAACTTGAATTCTGTAGTCTTCGACGGCTCAGTGATATTTGGGGCTTATGCTGCGGGAGCGTTTGCATTGAGCTGTTTCATTAGAACGCTCCATGCAGAGCTTGATTGCAGGTCTGTGTCGCTGTTTGCTTCGGAACGGAGCGAATCAAATTTTGTGCTTGAGGACAGTGTGCATAGAGCTACTGCCACGTTCATGGCCTTACTTGATATCGAATGCACTTGATTCATGAAATCATTGTAATAAAATGAATGATGCTTCAGTTGTTAAAATAAGCCTCGGCCTGGAATATACCTTGTGACTCCATTTTGGCGTGGTCTGTGCTGTGTAGAAATCTACTCTAACGCTCCATAAACCTGGCGACTCTAAACCTCGCACAACAGGGTTGCGCGAAAAGTCCACCACCGCCAGCCTTTCTTTT